CCACCTCACGTCTCACCTTTAGGCCATTCACTAATACAACACTGCATGTATCTCCAAGCTACAGATCAAACTTGATTAGATCTGAAACTGAGCAATCATGTTACAGTGGATGCTCAACAGCAAAACAAGTGAAGCCAGGCAAATTAATACTGTCCAAGCTGCAAGCTTTAAGAATTCTCAGTTCACAACTATTCTTTTTAAAATTTTTAATAAGTATCAGCATTCAAATACATAATACTGTTTGAGAATCAGCACAGATCCATAAACTAAGGTCTACAGGATAGACTGTGGATCACCACAGGATTGCAGAGGAATAGAGATCATGTCTGAGTGGCCATTTATTCAACTTAGTTATACTTGTGTCTTCCTTCCATTCTCCAAGAAACAATGGGGACATCAGTGCTGAGCACTATGTTCAAGCCTCATCCCCTGAAAGTTAAGTAGGCCTTCACAAGTACGAAGCTGAGGATTCAGGGAAGTGGTACACAAGAACTAGAGCCATTCCAAAACTGGAAAGGGTTCAGTTTCTGAAGATGCAGAAACCAGACCAGCCTTCCTCTTCTGCAAAAAAAGGGGGAAGATTTTCTGAATTCCTGTCTGAGAAAACATGCAACTGTGACCCCTCTGCTGCTATTCACTTCTCCTTTGCACTCTAGCGGAGAGGGCAAAGTTGTCTTCATACAAATTCAGATTTTTCCACTGTGATGAAAAAAGGTTTGCAGTCAAAATCCAATGCTTCAAAAGAGGAGAATACCCTGTACTTAGAGCCTGGGAAGCCTTTAAAAAAAAAAACCCCAAACAAACACTGTACCCTTATTCATGCTTCCTGCACATATGCCATTTGAGTATGTCCTTCCCTCCATCAGTGAGTACAGGCCAAGGAGCTTTACAGCTGTAAAGCAAGCTGCACCTGGTACTAAGCTTTTGAGCAGCTGCAGTGTGTCACTTGCACACCAGAGCAGTTGTCACTTAAGCCATGGAGGAAGTTATTTGTTGAACTGGACATTTGATCCTTCAGTTGGACACTACAGGGAGAAACCGTTAGGGGAAATGCACTGATCAGATCTGGCAGGCTTTGAGTCCCTCCCCCTGAGGAACAACTGCAGCATTTTAAAGTCCTTTCCCTTCACACTCCACAGGTGGGCTCAGGGAAAGGGCATCACAGTTAGCAATTTACAAGTCATTAGCAGAGGGACTACACCAAGAAACTAACATTGCCTGTCCCCAATTTTGATAGCAAGTTGAGACAGGCCATCTCACCATTGTGTTCAAGAGTACCCAAGGTTTTTTCTTCTGTCACACTCATTCTTTGCTAGCAGGCTATTCTCCCACCCTGACACTTCCCTTACAGCTCAACTCTGTAACATAACAGTGCTTCCACAAGAACTCCACAGCTACTTCAGCTGTTTGCCAGTACCATTTCTTTCTCACCAGCTGCCCTGTGTTGGCAGGGATGCAAAACTGTCACTTCAAACTCTCCTTAGCAGTGCAAGTTCCAGTGCTGATACTCATCTCCATAGCAGATAGCCAGAAATCAGAGTTTGTTCTGGCTCAAGAGACTTGACAAACATAGGACCTAGAGGAGCACAGCTGTTTACCCTTTGCTTTGAGGAAACCCTAATGAAGCCAGTGCTACAGGTGGGTGTAGCATATAACTGGATAATCACTGTAGCATGACTGAAGAGATGAGTCTCATCTACAGTCATACCAGCTGTAACCTGAAAGCTTAAGCAAGGGACCACTGAAGTAGACTGGGAGAGGTCAGACAGAGACAGGGAACAAGATTAGCATTACAATGCTTAACATCTGCATCATGAGAGAAGGGACAATTTTGAAGGCTTCAGACTACATGTTGTTCAGGGGAAGTGAAAACCTCACTTACAGGCACACACATCTGTGTTCTGTACAGAGCAGATCTTGTACTCAAGTAATAAAAGCCAGCAACACTGCACTGTTGTGTCTCAACCAGAATTTGAGAAGTCAAGTAAAGAAATTCAGGGCTGCAGCTTAAACTGCTGTCAAAGTACAGCACTTCTGTGTAGGAGTCTGGACTCAGATGTTTTCTTCAACCAGGGCAGGACACAGCTGGTTTTGACAAGGCACTGACTTTCAACACACTGATGAAAGCAGTGGACAGGACAGGTATTAATTTGGCCCTGCATAAGGCAGCATTTCCCAACAGCCAGTTCTACCAAACTTACAACTGGAACAGAATGATCCTGCAGGAGACGATGGTCCTTGCTGGGCTCCATTAGCTTGCTTAGAGACCAGCTGGCTTAAACAGTGACATCAGTCTTACTACAGATGACAAATTCACATTAAGACAGTAGAGAAAGTGTCATATCTCTTCCATTTTCCTTTGCCTCCATGTAGCTCAGGTCATGAATTTGGCAGCCAGGTATTGCAAAGTCTGAGCAAGCTTTAAGACCTCTGCTGTTAGATCTCAAATTCCTCTCTTGTTTCATCCCCTTGAAGTCCCCCCTTCAGGAAGTCCGATGCTTCTACCTCAGCCTCCTGCATTCTTCAAACAAGTCAAAGGAATCTGCGGAAATTCTCTCAGGAAAACAAAGAGACTGTACCAACACCCTTTCAGTAAATAAGGGTTAATAAGATTTTGCCTTCAGTGAAATTTAAGATTCCACTGTACAAAGCTATAGTAAGTTTTTACAAACGAGTGATCTACCTTACAAAGGAAGAGTCAGCATATTGGCCAGTATGTAATAAAACTTAGTATTTTTATTAATTCTAAACACACCTGCTTCACCAAATCAACAAGCAAACAAAGATTTTACATTAATGCATACACCTCATCAGCAGTGGAAACATACTTACCGCAATATGCTTTTTGCTCCCATACATTTGATGTCATACGAGACAGAGTAGATCTCATAGAAGGTCGCCTTGATGTTTAAGCAGCCAATAAAATCCTTAGGGTTCAGCTTGTACAGATCAAACGTGATGTTAGCTACTCCCATTTTCTTCTTTTGTCTCACAGTGGCAACTCCATTTCTTGTCTAATTAAAAAAAAAAAAAAAGAGGGAGAGAGACAGCTTGTACCATGAGCCAGGAAACTACAGCAAGACAATTGTTAACAGTGTGGCTCTTTAGAAGCAGCTTGCTCATTCTAGTCTTGGAGCTAGCTCTTGATCAACTCTAAACTAGAATTAAAAGCATTAGCACAGAGAAAAACAAGGCTGTACCTTACATAATTTTATTCAAATTCTGAGCAGGCTTCTGAAGCTATTCCAAACAGACACAGAAGTTCTAGAGTGACATAAGCACCTCTATTTCTTTTCTGTAATACAGCTGCTTCTTCAGAGTATACTGAAGCCACAGGTAATACCACTGGACAGTGTTCCTGCCATTTAATTATCTGGTGATGTTCCAGCTGCTAGCTGAGGCAGCACAGTCAGTCCCCACTGAAACAGGCCACCAAATAACCAGCATGACATTAGGTTCCTCTGTTTAGGAAGGAACACAATACTGATGAGCACCCTTAGAGATATTGCAAAGATGACATTTGTGAACAGTCATGTCCTCATTTTCAAGTCCTGGCTCACAACAGGTCCTCATTTGAAATCTGGGGTCTCTTTCTTCCTACTAAAAAAGTAACACGGGAAAGGAACCTCTACTGATTAGACCTAGGATTTAATACTGAGTTTTTAAGAGAAAAAGCAAAGGAGGAGCATGGAAAGTAATCTTCCACCTTAAATCCAGCCTCCTTTATTAAAAACAGCCCTTGTCTGTTTCAGGGCTGACAATAATGCTTTCAGGATTGCTTGCTTCAAGAGAACAGACAGAAAATAGCAAAGAATACCCATATTTGCAGAGACATCTAGTGGATACACAGGCTACTCTGCTCAGCACACTCAAGGTTAATGCTGTAGCAGCTGCCAAGCTGTTTTTTGCGTGCTAAATGAAGCAATAGAGTTGTGTAAGACCGGGCCTTTTTGTACTTGTCACCCCAGCACTCAGACAGTGCCGTGATAAGTCAGACCAAGTTAGACACCGTAGTATCATTAACCAGCAATTTTACGCCCATTTTACTGCTCCCTCCTCCATTAGCACCCAGAATATTTGGATAAAGCATGGCAGAGCTTGTGCTACACTCCAGATGATTTGTGAAGCTGCAGCAGTCCTCCTGCGGTCATTCAGCACACCCTGAAGACGGGCAGCATCCAAACTTGTTCTGCTGCCATGCCAGACAGGACACAGGGCAGAGGGGAAAGGAGCAAGGTAGAGTCATAGAATCATGGAATGGTTTGGGTTGGAAGGGACCTCAAAGATCATCTCGTTCCAACCCCCCTGCTGCAGGCGGGGCCACCCTCCACTAGACCACATTGCCCAAAGCCTCATCCAACCTGGTCTTAAACACTTCCAGTGATGGGGCCTCCACAAGCTCTCTGGGCAACCTGTTCCAGTGCCTCACCACTCTCACAGTAAAGAATTTCTTTCTAACATCTAAGTCATACCCTGGCTACAAACTCTTCTCCACTCTCGGGGCTCAAGGCCCAGATGCAGCAAGCTGATAAGCCAGTGAGGTATCTTGGGGAAAAAAACACCATACAAACTGCCCACATGGCAACAGGAGACTTGAGAAAAACAGGGCCGCACAATTGAGCCATCCGTGTACAAACGGAGAAGAGTTAGGCCAGCTTACAGCTCCTCAGCTAGCTCTGCACCTGGTAGAGGAAATTGTCATGCTAGCTTTCTAGCAACAACCATCATGGAAAGAGAGTTAGGAGTTTGACTCTGTCTTATTAACATACAGATGACTATTCTCCCACAAAACCACAAAATGGACACTGATTTGATACAATTAGAAGACTAAAGCTAGCTGATCTTAATAGTTCTTAAAATAGCTTGTAGCATGTAGACTAACATTAGGTTTTGATGACTTTTAGCTGCAAGATTAAACACAGGCCTTCACTAAGCTATTACTGCATTGACAAGGCAGAATTGTTTTACCTTGCTTAATTTGGACATTTTTTTTCCTAAAAGCTAACCTTTAAAGACATAGTAATTTTAAACTTGATGCAGTCAAAGTCCTAATTTTCTTTGTTACAAAAAAGCTCAAGAACAAATTTATTGCTGAGGCTCTCCAAAAGCAGGGGATTTCCCCTATAATTCTTTGCAGTTGTAATATTTCATTTCAATTCTTGGCAGATCTTTGCCAACAGTTCTGTGTCCAAGCAAGGGACACAAAACCAAATCAAAACATGATTTGTCATGCAGGAAGGCTCAACAAGGAGTTAATACCTTGCCTCCTTTAGGGGAAGTTTTCTTCCTCTTCTCCCCTTTTTCCAAAAATTTTAGCAGCCACCGATGTTCCTCCATCCAGTTCTATTTAAGTGAGAGAGAAGCAGTCACCACTTACTTGTGTCCATTTCTGTCCTTTTTCTAGAACCATGAAGTGTGTATTATCATCCAGGGACCTGAAGAACTCTTCTGTGTCCACAACCGTGCCATCTTCCTCCAAAACCAGAGTAATTATTCCAGCAGATATAAGGAAGGCATCTAAAGTCTGTAAAAAAACCAGTAGATTTCAGCATTTGAAAGAGGGCCTATCATTTCATATTAAGACTTGCTTATCTGACATACTCTCCAGAACTTCCCCAGTAATGATTTTTAGAAGAATAAGAGCATGCGAGTTGCCTTTCTGGGATACTGTACTTCACTATAAGTTTCATCCAGAGTGGGAATATTTGCTGTACCTTGCTGATAAGCTCTTGCAGGCTGCTTGCAACAATTCCTTTCCGGCTGCTTCGGGAGGCATTTGACACACGGAAAGGTCGCCCTGCAGGCATGAGAGGAGGGAACAGGGTCTGTTTTGTTACTGCTCCCACAGATGCTCCCATGGATACCAAAGATCTAAGACAAATAAAAATTCAGCGTAGTTATAAAAATAGTCACATCAAGTACTGTGGAGAAGGAGGAGGACCGTTGAGTTCAGTGACATAAGCACATTATACAAGTAATTCACAGGTCACATTAGACTTGTGGAGCTTGCTTTCAAAGCTAAATACTATATAGCCGTCCAGATATGTTGTCTCTGACCTTTCTCTTGCCAGTGAGATTTGAAAACACTTCTAAAATTAAAAACATTTCAAGCAGATGTGGGCCACCTCTAGCTCAGCTGAAATCAAGGTCACAATTACAGTGAGGCTGACAGGCTTTAACACTGAATTAGAAAGGCAGTAGCGCTTACTGCCTTCAGCCACTTAGATCATTCTCTTTACCTGCAAGATAAACAATGAGATAAATAGTTGAAAGTAGTTTTGTGTGTTAAGACATGAGTTTGCCTTAAGAATACTGAATGTATTATCCATATTCAAAACACACAGCATCAGAACACAAGCAGAGCTTTCCGATATAGTTATGCTTGACCTCCAAACAGCCAAGGCATTTATCTTGTAAATAGTAGCTACAGCCTATAAAACTTCATCTAGTTTGGAAGAAAAACCAAAACCACAAAATAAGACTTGTTTGTGCCCTAATATATCAAAAGAAGTCAAATGAAATGAAAATTAAGATCAAAGTATATAAATGCAGAGTGTTGGAGCAGGCTACCAGAGAGACTGGAAGAATTCAAGCACTTTTAGAAAGATGTTTTAAATTTTCCCAGGCAATCATATGTTTTAATAGTGACTGTTTAGGTTCCCTTAGGCAAGCAGAACGCATAACACCAGTAACTGCCTACTCCCACACCAACGTACAGACCTGCTCCCATCTACATCTAGTGACAGCTTTTTGCTGCCAAATTACATTGGTTACTTCAATAGCCAGCTTGCCAAAAATCACCCTCTACATGACACCTGAAAAGACTTGATCTCTAGCAAGTCTTTTAAAGGGAGACACTATTTTGTCTCCCACATTCCTGAACTTTACCCCCTGTATACCTTTTGCTCCTTAATACTGAATTGCACAGGAGTGGGAAAAGGGATGCATCTCCATTTTGCTCTCCTACATAGGTGTAAAAGGTCAGCTTTATGTAGGAAAATCTATTCTCAGGCACTTTCACAGAGTGGGAGTCAACTAGCAGTCTCTTTCTGCAGCCAGAGAATGAATACAAGAATTCCTAGAACAATGACGAAGTGGTATAAAGTTACTCAACTAATAACGTCTCAGTCACACCTTTTATACAAGTCCACATTGGCCAGGGACGATATCTTTGTCTCAGTCACACCCTTTGTACAAGTCCACATTGGCCAGGGACGATATCTTTTCCAAACGTCTTATCTGGTCTTTAAGCATATTTTTGAGATGTACAGAAAATAGTTTTTATGACCTTATCTGGTCTTTACGCATGTTTTTGAGATGTACAGAAAATAGTTTTTATGACTGGCCAAATAGAGTTTCAGCAATTAATTTATTCCCTGCTCTCATTCTGAGCTACTCTTCTACAGGGTTTTGGGCTATTCCCTTTCCTCTGTGCACTAAAGTTGCCTTTCCTCTAGAACTTCTCAGCATTATTGAAGCTTTTATTTTTTTTAAAGAGGTATGTTCAACAGTTTTATTCTAGCTCAAGCTAATATCTTCTTGGTAGCGTTGTCTAAGCAGTAGGTCCCTGGCATTCAACAGTTTGCATATATACACACACAGAGCTGGTGGAAATCTCTCTCCTTCCTGTAACAAGGCTGGTTAGGATGAGCAGTCAGTATGGTTTTCAGGAGACAGGCACTGTTTCAAATTAAAGAGCTAATAAGCACTTTCCTCCTGGAGCAGGGTCAAGACCAGGGAGGAGGGCAAGATGACAGAGTAGCACTGACAAAGTCACTGAAGCTCCACAGAAGGGAAGTGTGCTAGGACAGGGCATGTCTATTAATCACTGATTAAGTTAATAGTCCCCTAATCACCCCACTGGTCTGTGGGCAGCTCCCACTCTGAGTCATTCAAGTCTTTTCCTCAGAAATGAAGCCTGCTCATCTGCCTTGGGGCTGATGACTCCTGTTCCCTCTCATACATTTGAGAACTAGCACATAGAAGAGTTGAGTGGTATACATACGACAGTACTGCCAAGATTTTTTTTTGCAAGGACAGAAAATACCAAACCTGTTGAACAGTTTTCTTTCCCATCACTTAAGCCAAGTTGTTATTCACAAAAGACAAAGCATAAGGAAAAAAGCCAAAACATACATTCTGATACAGAAGGAAGAGCATTAGCAGCACAGCTCATGGGCAGGACTTGAGCTAACAGGGTTCACATCAGGCATTAGCACAGCCATACAAGCAACAGTTTGCAGCTCTGAGCAGAAGTTTCTTCAGGATTCGAGATCCATTACCTCACACTACTGCCTAGTTCTATCAGATGTAAAAAGTCGGGGGGGGGGAACCCCAAAACTACAGATTAAGAAACCAGGACTTTCATTAGCTCCACCAGACAGTCACTTAACAGGAGTCCAAGTCTCAGGGAGTTATTTAACACTGATGCCATTTCACCTACATTTCAATAAAACCAGCAATATCATCTTTAAACTAAGCCTGCTTATGAAGCAGTGAGCCTGGGCTCCAGTGCGGGCTGAGGTTTCCGTTAATGAGAAGTCAGTGTGATTTAAAAAAAAAAAAAGCCAGATAAACAGAGTATGTAACCCTTCTATTTCTGGACCTATTGCCGAAAGCTTGGGTTTTCTTTGTTTCCCTCTGCACACAAAGGCCAGCAACTCAGACAGGCCAGCCTACACTCAGGGCTCCTAGAAAGATCCCTTTTTGCTGCAGCTGACCTCAGAAACCAGACAAACCAATTCCTGACACAGGGAATTCCTCTGCTAGATTGAAGGTACCAAAAATAATTTCCTATTAAAAGCTGATCAAGATAAGTCAGGAAACAAGCAGTGGAGAGGAAAGGAACATACTAAGGTGCAATCAGTTTTACTAAGAAATTGAGTGACACATTAGATACAGACAACTCCACTATTGTTTTATTATTCTCTAAAGTCAAAAAGATCAAGTCCTAGCTCTTCCCTAAAGGGGAGAGGGGTCTTATGTCAGTGGAAAACACAAAAGTGTATTTATAATTGAAAGAGCAAATATCTTCATACTCTAGCATCTTGTCAGTTTGCTTGGTATAACCACAGCCTGCTAGAGAAGGACTCACAGATACTACCCCAAGCATGCAGCACAGTATCAAGATTAGTGGGAAAAATGAATTTTTTTTTTTAAGAGAACCTGGAGATTAAAAGCCTGCCTTGAGCCCTGTACACATATTTCACTCTATCTTTGTTTGCAATATGCCTCATATGTTTGTCTAAGAATGTGGTGCAATGGTCTTTGGTCTCACTCAGAAAAATCAATGTTGCACAATACAAGTGACTTCAGAATATAGCATGATTTGATTTTTAGGTTAGAGTTCATAGGCAAATGACAACAGCAGTAACAGCAAAGCAAGAAGTGTCAGAAATTAGTCAGGGGACTTAGAGTTCAACCAGATTGCAGACTTGGTCTCCCTGCTGAAACATGACCTATAGAGATATCAGAACCACAGCTAGAACGAGAAGCATTTTTGAGAGGCATACAGAACTATACCCTCATGGAGGTGATTAGCACACCTGAAACAGAGGCCAGAAGCCCTGGTCATGTTGCCACTGAGTACAAGTCGCTCCTAACTACACCAAGGCTCCACACCTGACACACCAGCTCCTTGCACACAAGACAGCTGCTTCTCTACTGCTGAGAGGTGAACACACCCCAGCCATTATACCCCAGAAAGGAGTTAAAACTACAAAGCCCCTTCTTGTTCTTCCCTCAGAAGAGCTTCATGCAGGGCTTGAAAAGCTGCAAGAACATGCCTACTTGCTTCTCCCACCTAGCGACTTTCAAATTTAATCACACGCACACCCGCTGTGACCAGCCCTCACACCGTGCTTGGAAAGCGCCCTTCGCTCCTTTAGAGCCGGAGCCGACAGAGCTACTTAGACTCGGCTCTCCCCGAGCATCCCCCGGC